CCCCTCCCTTCGTAAATTTGCGCTGACCAATCCTAATCACGCCATTCACCCTAACTTAAATCACTTCAGCCTCTTCAAATGCCCGCTTAAGATATACATTTATGATTTAGGCCCTTAATTCCCTTGAGCTTAGTATTAGCGTGTTAATTTTTCGACTGAAGTGAATAAAAAAATTGAATAAGATCATTAAAAGCGCTTTATATCTATTTTAATTAATATGAAATAAAAAAAACAAAGTCGTGTTTCGATTAATTAATTGTTTTACCGTTGAACCGAATACACTGCTTTCCTTCACTTCGGAGAGACGGAAAAGTGGGAATTAATATATTCTCGATTTCGAAGAGTATTTATACGAATCATTACAGACTTGAATTTCTTGTAATTCTTAGCACATTTTATAATACTCCACTATTATGATTTATAGTTGTACATTTCACTAATTTCACTACTACTAATTGCTCACCACAGCTGCAATGTTCCCTCACCCCTCAAATTGCATTTACTGACTTACCTCTAAGCATAGGAACCATTTCCTGTTTTCTTAAGTTAACAATTTGACGTATAAAAGAATAGACAATGACGTGATCAGAGTGACTAAAGAAGACTTTTTCCACTTGTATCATTATTTAAGCTAACTAATCTTTATCTGAACTCGCTCAGGTGTTGTAATTGATGTTGGTATCTTAGTTTTCAACTATCTTAATTAATAGATTTCCTCTCTTAGAGCAACCAGAAAACTAAAAATTAATAATACTAGACGGTTAAACGCTCTCCAAAACAATATAAATTTGGAGATAAAACAAGTATTGCTTATGCATCCTATTGAAAATTAACATGTAGAGAAGAAAGCATGTTAGAAAAGTGATTGTCCTTTTATATTGCTTGGTGTCCGGCTCTTAATACGGTCATATAGTTACGTAGTGATACTGATGGGTGTCGTTTCTGTTTGAACGGCTTGGCTACTCCATGACTATCAGAAGAAAGAGTGATAAACTAAGTTGGAATGACCAACCACTCCTTCTTAATCTCCCAGGTCTGTTCACCAAGATCATGAACTACTCCTTAGTAATAAAAGAATCGTATGTTGCAGTGTGAGCTTAAAACATCAGAGCATGATGTTGGGAGCATACATATTAAGTCACTTAGAGACGACCTAATAAATCCACGATCAAGGCAAATAAGACCGATTTCGTTCACAATTTCTAGCGTATCCATTCCTCCTTCTTCTCCTCCGAGTGCTTTAAAGCCTCCTAATTAAATTAAAATTGTTTATTTGTGATTTAGGCATGAGAATCTTTCAGAAATTATTATTCTTTTTATTTCTAATGAAGTTACTCACGCTGTGGTTTCTTCTGTGAAATGGGAGTGAACAGTTGCGAAAATTCCATAGGAAATAAAATGTACACAAGGGTCAAATAACCAAATATATCGAGGTCAGGGTTCAAACGATTCTCACTGAAATTGACGTAAATGGCCAATTGAAACATAGTCAGTCGCTTCGGACAGGAATTGAAGCAAGTGCAGTTTAACCACTGATAGGCACTGCTTTGTAAAGAAAATAACACCTACGTGGAATAACTTTATCTTGGATGCAATAGAAATAAACTAGTTCAAGTTGGATATAATTCTCCTCTAACGTGAAAATGGAATTTGACAGAGAAAAATGGAAAGGCTGTCATCTATGACAATTGACCATAGGATGGACAAATTAAGGTCAAAGGTGAGAATATTAGGGAATGGTTAATTATTCTGAAAATTATGCTTTGATGGCAGTGCATTGGAAGGTGGCGGTTAACAAGATCTGCCAGGTCTGTCGAATGAAGGAAAATTAGAGGGGAAATGGTAGGTAACCCGAATAAAGGCGTCAATAAAGTGAGAATGCACCATTAAACCTAAGCCCTCAACTTAAACAAATAAAAGTATGAAATTTAGTTAAACAAAAAAATTAACTTGAAGTAACCATACAATGCTTTACCCATTTATATTTTAATTTAACAAACTAATGGTTTCCACCAACATATGTCTACAGAGTGTAGAATGGTAGACGGTAGGTCGAATTTGACTAACGTCAACAGACAAAAAATCAACACTTGATCTGACTACCTTCTCTTAATTCCCCCTCCCCCGGAAAATACCGTTTATAAAATTGAGGGCAAATGAAATTAACAATTGATTAAGCCATTCCATAAAAAAGCCATCCAAATTGTTCAGCATGCCACTTTTTCGGAAAAACCTTTATTCCTATCAGATTGGAAAGGAAGTGGCAGTGGGCTTTTTATCTTTCTTCAGGGATGAAAATAGACCAAAACAAGAAAATCAACTGACAGCATAAAGTAGATTACAACTTTGAAATAAAGGGGATGTGCGATAGACTTACCTCCACGTGGTGCACCCTGGGCAACGTATACTCATACGGCAAAAAAGTCTATTAACCGGCAGTTGACTTCTCACTTCAAACTATCCTCACCCCATTGTATGTCATATTCGACTACTTCCACAGTACTCACCCCACCTTTTTCCACTTTTGTGTCTGTCTCTTTTAAATCTTTGAAACTCTCTTCTGTTCCCCCTCTCGACCTGTTTCACTTTGGTGTTCCTCCTCCTCTGTGAAGTCTGAAGTCAACTAAAGGGCTAATGATAACCATTCTGTGAAGCCTGAAGTCAGCTAAACGGCTTATGATAACTATTGAAGTCTGAAGTCAACTAAAGGGCTAATGATAACCTTCACAACGCCTGCCATTTGATATAAATAAATAAACTTTGAAATAACAAAAAAACCTTTAACCGGAAAAGTACTTTTGCTTCCAACAGTAGAAATCAACATTCACAATCGTATAGGTATTTTAAACAAAAGGGTAGTAAGATAGTACAAATCAAGGAATAGGCACGGAAACGATACACTGACGTGACATCAGAAGTGAATGAGAGTCAAACTGCAAAGACTAAAAAGGGGAGGCTTAAGGCATGGCGGTTGGGATTGAGTTTAGCGCAGATTAGGGGGAGGGGAGGGGTTGGGGCAAGTTGGGGTGACTCATATGCCCAGGTAAGTGCTTTGTCTTTGCACGAGCAAGCTCCCGCACATTTACTTGGCGCAGTTTTAGCCCATGACAAAATGATTGTTTAGGGACTGATACTGGTTTTGATATTTAATTGAAGCATCCGAAGATATAACTATTGTGAACAATTGAAGAAACATACAACATCAACACTAAGTTTCGTATTTTAGGTAAAGTTGTTTAATTTGCCCTCCTTAAGGAGACCTTCAGGCCATATGCTTCACAAGAAGTGAATCATCCCACGTAATCGCCGACACTGTGTCCTTTATTCAAGCTACTCCGAATAAATCCACGTGGGCACCACTAACTGGACATACTCGATCATCTAATCTATCTGTTTGCTGTGGATGAATTACGTGGACCTATTCGTTTTTCCCCTTGAAAAAAAAACCAATTCATGAGGTGGTTATTTTGCCAATTGTACCCAATAAATGATACACAAATGAGCTTGAGAAGTAATTCTTGTGGCATGGTTAAGGACTAGGGTTACAGGGTGTAACAAGATGAAGACTCGGATTACCAGATGCGGAGATTTGGAAGACAAAAACATGAAGATGGTGAAGATGAAAATTAGTCCAATATAAAGTAAACCGCCAGGAATGATGGGGTTCGGGTCGCTCTATATGTAGTTGGACTACCTGGTTAATGAGTAGGCTGGTAGACACTGAAAAAAAAGTAAGCATGAAAACTGTTTATTGATCAGGAGGAGGAGATGAAGAAGGATATTTGTAGATATTTATATCAAATGGCAGGCATTTTGATAGTTATCATTTGCCCTTTAGTGGACTTCAGTTTTCACAGGGGGGAAGGAACATCAAAGTGAAAAAAATTCGAGAGGGGGAGGGGGGGGACAGAAGAGTATTTCAAAGATGTAAAGGAGACAGACACAAAGGTAGAGTGAAAAATGTGAGTGAGCATTGTAGAAGTAGTCGAATATGACATACAGTAAGGTGATGGTAGTTTGATGTCGAAAGTCAAATAGACTTTTTGTCGTATGAGTATACGTTACCCAGGGTGCACCACGTGGAGGTAAGTCTATCACCCACCCTATATTTGTAGATATAGATAGGCAACAAAAGGTGTCGGAATAGTTTAGACACAGAGCGAATATAAATACATGAAAGATGAAGCACAAACTAGAGGGGCTTGAAGAAGGGGGAAGGCTGTGCATTCCATCGACAAGTGAGTTTTAAGTAAACTATTTTCAAATTGCAGTTCTCACGTGAGCGTGAAAAAATTTTTGTCAGTAGCTAGAATCTGGTTAATTCTCTTTCAATTTTAGTCTCGAAATTATACTTTTGAGTCATCTCAATTCTCTTTAGATTATACTGTCGTGGGACTGTTCTAGTTTGCTCACAATGTTAGTTACTAACCATATAAATCCAAGACCACCTCCCACTGTTAAATTGCTAGATCCATTGTTTCAATGAAACTCATGAGCAAAGAGAGCTTTGACTATTACTCTGTTACCTTATTTTAAAAACTGGTGTAAAATTATTATCAATTCGGGAGACATTTGAAGGAACAAGGGCAAGGGGTCATCATCACTTCCTATTGTCGAGGCCTAACTCACCGAAGTTCGCTTATCGATTTGCACCTATGATCGTATGTCGGTTGCACCATTTCAATCGTTATACCCCACCCTCTCCCTACAGCCTTAATAGGTTTAAATAGGCTTGATAAACATCTACTCACGCACTCATTGTGAGAGTTTTATGCATGTAAAAGAGAGAGACATAAAGGTAGATGAAAGGTGAGGTGAGTACTGTGGAAGTAGTCGAATATGACATACAGTGGGGTCATGATAGCTTGAACTCAGAAGTCAACTGACGGTTTATAGATTTTTTTGCCGCATGAGTATACGTTGCCCAGGGTGCGTACGTGGAGGTAAGTCTATCGCACACCCCATTATTAAAACATAGTTTAAATGTTAATAACGAAATAGTTAGACGGTTTGGAGTCACAAAAAACTGAAAAAATCGAATATGGAGAATCCTACTCCTTCTGGTATTCTGAATCCTCAGGTAACTTAGTTTCCGATTTTACTTAGCATTGAGGATAGGCATTTCCACCTGAGTTTACTTGGCTATTGAGACCAAAGATCCACATGGGAAATTTCCCTTGGATGTACACCTCAGCTGTATTTGATATTAGTTAATATGTGAGATTTGTTATGCTGATATCTTAATTTGAAATTCCTTCTTGACAGATATGGACTTCTTACCAACCTATTTATACCAATTTTTATTCAAAATGCAGCGCCATATATCAGACACTGTTTAAACAATAAGTTCAAAATATCACCATTAATTACATATACCATTCAATAATTTTTTTCTTGCCTGAACGTTCCGACATCCGTCCTCCAAGGTATTTCCCATTGGTTGGCCATCAGTCAGCTCACCAAAATTATGCTGATGTTTGATTGGTCAGCTACACTACGTTTCTATAGCAGCACAGAGGCTAAATTTCTGGGTTCTCTGTTACCTTCGGCCCTTTCAGTTGGTGCCGCGAAGTACGTTTTGAAATGAGAGAAATCGTGCACATTCAAGCCGGTCAATGCGGCAACCAAATTGGTGCCAAGGTAAGTCATCCAATAATATATTTTATAAACCTTGCTTTTAATAAAACGTGCATGAAAGGTAACTTGAATGTCATAATTGAAACATCAGTGACATATTGGTAACTGTGCTCGTCTGTTATGTCTGGGATCATAGATTCAATTCCCACTGATTCACACCCAGTGAGTTAAATGGCCAATCCAATTAGTTCAATGTGTCTGATGTAACTGGCAGAATTCGAGCTTCTTTGGAGATCATCTATGATGATCGTTGGGAACTGGTTTACTATTGGGTCATTAACTTCTGGCATTTTTTATTAAATAATGCTAAGTCTAAAGCACATTTAAAACTAAAATAGAATTATTAATTGTCTAATTAAAATGATTAGGAAAAGTTAGTGGTAAAGATACATGTTAAAGCGTTTGAAGAAACAGGCCATAATATCCAATGAAGCTTAAGATATTTGAGTTCAGTAAACGGAATTGGAATTTATTTTAGAGAAGAGTAGTGAAATATTTATAGATTTACATCAAAGAAAACTAGTATTTGCATGCATTTTCTGCCTACTTGGATATTTAATAAGCCAGTTCTAATTCGTTTGACAGGAGAGAACATTTGTGTAGAAAAGAAAAGCCCTATAAGATTGAATGTTAACACCTATTTCGCTTTCATAGCTGTAGAATGAAACCTAAGAAAACGGGATTTAGTAGGGTACGATATATTATGTTAACTCCATACATCACCAACATGATCTTACATGTGTTATGGGTA